ACAGCCGAAAAATTTCATGTCAATTGCAGGACATAAATCAGCAGAAGGAGCTAGCTAGCTAGCTAAGAAATGTAAATGTAAACGCTTTGAAAGCCACCCAGGCGTGGCCTCCATCTACCCCACATGTTTATCTACTTGTGGGGTAGAGAGCGTGGTGCCAAGAGGAGTGCGGCTCATCGCCTTGTCGAGCGCAGCAAATGGTGACAATTTGTGAAGATTTCAGAGAAAAAGAGAGCTTCAATGGAAACTGTGTTGGATTGCAAATACTTTCATGTTCGTGCCGCATGCTCACATGTGATGAAGATGACGCACCGTCCTTCCGAGCCCGCCCTCCCTGCTTTCACTCCGCACTTTTATTTGCCTGACCCACTTTGAGTCGACTTGATTACAGTTTTCAATGCAGGCGACTTGAATGGCGTTTTGATAGCCTCTAATGCAGCTATCTGGCATCGCGATGCAGTCCACTTAGTGCCAGTTAAACTCGTACCCCCTCTTCTCGTACCACCCCCCCTACACTTTGTGCCTTTCACAAGAAATACCCTGCAGGCACTTTCACTGCCAGCTTGAATTACATTTCACTTATCTTTGGCAACAAGTTCTCTGCTCTTCTCTAGCATGCAAATCCAACCATGCCGCTTAGTCCTTGAACTGAGAGCAGCTGTGGACTCGACTAGCCCGCCTCCCACCATTCTGTCCCTTTGCCATCAGCCAGCTCGCACTCAGCTGCCATAATGCTGTACTCGAAATATTTTTGCATCTTCTCGAGTCTGTTTCATTTGTGACAAAGTGTCCAGATCCGGATCCGTACAGCTGTCATTCTAGCATATCTCTGAGTTATATATTAAAAACTGCCGCCTCTTGTTTGGCTTGTTTAGGGTAAAAGCACTTTGAATTTATGGCACTGTGATTATTGCTTCACTTGTCTACAGATATCGCAGTCTGGCTGCCACATAAATCCCTGACTCTGACGTTCTGTCGGGTCTCAGTGGGTTGGGGCCATTGGAGTTGTTCAAATTTAAGCCGACAACTTCCGCTCGCCCTTTCTCATTTCGTTTCGTTTTTGCTCTCTCCTACCACGTGGCCGTGCATTCATCCAATTAGACGCTTAATTGTCTGACAAGCAAATTGCTTTGTCAATATTTTCACCAAGTCATCTCTTGTTCTCTCTATCTAGCCCTCGACCTAACCTCGAACCCCTCACCACGCCGAGTGTCTGCCGCACGCACTTACTTCTGACAGTTTCAAGCAGCGGACTTTATTACCCAACCCTCCGGCTGGCTATCGGGGAGCGGGTCTCTTGCTCCTGTCAGGCATGAGGTAACCATCAAACAGGCTTTTAAGTTTGACCACAAGTGTTGCTGTTTTTGTTGTAGCTGTCGTTGTTGCTGCTGATATTATTGATGTTGCCTTGCCCAGAAAGCTTCCTTTCGTTTTCGGGCTGGGTGTCTGGGCTATCTGGGGTGCCTGTGTCGTGTCACTTATAGACTTCACTTTAAGTTGTCAATATTTATAAATGCTTACACGCCAAGAGCTAACCGCTTGAGGACGTGTACTTTTAGGCTAGATCTCTCTCTTTCTCTCTCTCCTTCTCCCTATTACAAACCTGTAGCTTAAGTAGTTTCAATCGTTCGCCTAGCTCAGGCAGTTTTCTTATTTTAGGGGTCAATTAACATACCTGCTACGCCGTTGTAGGATATAAAAAATTGTTCCTGAAATCTATGCGAGACCTTTGTAGTTTTTTAGGGTCCTTGATGCGAGCCAAGAAAAACCATTTAGAATTACAAAAGAAACCATAAACATCAATATTTCACTTCCGTTAAGCCCGGTTCAATAGCCGTAAAAACCGAACATAATTTTTAGGGCTCAACGATGATTTTATGCAAATCGCAATCGAGAGAGCAAAGGGCACACATATGGCCTGCAATTCAGTTCAATAAAAGGCAACAAATGCCTCTTGATAAGTGTAAAATTTACAATTCCAATTTTTACAACAGTTGTGTGGGGTCTTTAAACTGTCCCTTGAACCAATCCAACCCACTCCATCCCAAACAGGACTTAACAATGATGAAAAAATTGCGTAGGCATACAAAATGCCCCGCTAAATACTTCGGTCGCAACAAAAGGCCCGCAACTCCATTGAAAATCTGCTGAAAGGGGGTTGGGGTGACCTAATAGAACGACAGCTGTTATCCAAGAGTATTCAAGCATAATTCTCAATTGTCTGAGCTGTTGCCTTTGACGCCCAGTAATCAAATTAAAAATTGAGTTAAATTTTTTATTTTCGCCCCGCATAGACCGGGCGGATCAGAGGACTTAAGATAGTCGAGTTGATTGCTGGCATTGTCGAAGGGGGTTGCTCTGTTCCTCTAATGGAGTCATTAAGGGTAGCTGCCAGTCAACATTCGGCACCCGAATGTTCTCTATGCATATCTCCATCTCAACATGTGTTAGGTGCGAGTGTGTGTGTATGTGTCTGTGTGTGTGTGTGTGTGTATGCGGTTAATTTTGAGCTACTGAGTCCTGAGGTCCTTCACGTTGTTGCTGCTGTTCTTGACGACTTCGTCGTAGCCGGCAAATGAATAAATTATCAACTATGTGAAGGTACTTACCGAGTAGAATGAGTGCTCATGTAGTTGCTGATGTTGGCTTTTGGGGGGGTGGGCGGTAATTGCAGCGCCTTGTCGTCTAGGCCATTAGAACCTGGCACTAATGGCCCGCGCCTATTGGCTGGGGCTGGCCACCTTAAAGTTGCCCCCCAAAAAGCCACAGCGACATTAGCGCATAAAAAAGGCATTTGTAAGACATGAAAGGCACTCAGTCAATGGCGGGCAGGTGGCTTTTAAAGGAGCCCTTCCTGGGCACGACCCAGGGATGGCCGGGCGGCAAGGCAAGGAAGAAGACAAATCAATGCAGGTGTCACAAATGTCAGACGACAGCTTTGGCCCGCCCGTGAGGATATTAATGTCGCTGACTGAATTGATGATGACGATTGTTGCTTGCTTGTCTGTCGGGCTGGCAGCTAGGGGCACCGAGGATGGAGCCAGGCGGACCTGCGCTTAAGCCGATTTGCCATCTTATCACAGGCCAAGGCAAGGCGCACGGCACACGGCAAAGCGATTCCGATACCAATCTCGGCCCGAAGCGCTTCAGTCAGCTTTCATAATGTGCTTTTCCAGCCTGGCTGCCTGTCAATTGACAAGCATAATAAATCATGTGTTATAGTATTAATCAACGTAAAGCCTTCTTCTTGCTCCCGACTTCTAGATGTTGTATGTTGTATGTAGCTGTTGCCATTGCCATTGTTGTTGTTGCGGTAATCGCATGACATTTATTGCAGTTACCGTTCTGCCTGCCACTCAAAGAACCCTCGGTTTAAACTGACTTAAAGCCAACTGTGACTTTCAGTTAATTCAACTGTGACTTCAAGTGGTCTTTAATTGCGAGTCACTTCCTTTCGCCCTTTGTCCTGCTCCTCCAGCTCTGGCATTGGCTTCAATTGTTTCTCTAATTGCCATTTCTCGCTACGCCTTCTAGGGCTGAGCTGTCTGGCCAGCACATTAAGAACTTGTAAAGTTAAATTAAGTGTTTCGTCTACTATGCAAAAAGAATAAAAATATAAGAAAGTGAATCGTGTATGGCTAAAAAGTTTTCCAAACTTAGACCTAGAGGAGTTTCGTACTAGGCCAGGCGCTTGCCTAGGAACTAGATAGAAATTTCTTACGTTCTTGCTTATAACTTCATATATTTCTCCTGTTAGCACAACTTTCCAGTCAACCCACGTTAATTGTTGGCCCGCCCTCCATCTACGCGTGGCCAACTACAATTAAATATTTCTTATTATATAATTTGCAGACTGTAAATGCAATGCAGTCAAAGATGCAATGTCATCAACATACTTATCGACAGAACAATTAATTGACATATTATTCAAACGGTCTGTCGCCTCAGCTCGCTGTGGGCGTGGCGACCAGAGGATATTTCGCTTACTCGGGTGTCCTGTAGGATACCCATTGTCGAGCGGGTTTTAGTACTGCTGACAATTGATATATTTTCAATTATTTAAATGACAGGCAACAAATCTTAAGTGCTTAGACAATTTGCCCAAATGCGACGGCACCACAAAAAAGGGCGAAGCTGAAACTATCTCAGCCTTAATGTAATTGCTGCCCCTCGCTCCGGCCCTGGCGGCAGGACATGCAAAAGGACCACAAGCCAAATGGAACGCTACCCGGGGTAGTCTTGTGGGCGGTCAGCTGGTGGCATTTAAATAAACTAACGTTGACTTTTCCAACTACACACCGAGATGAAATGGTATGCGTATGTAGATTTTTCTAAAGAAAAACACATTTCTTTGCATTTTATTTGGCTAGAGGCAAATTTGATGATTTGATTTTTAGGCGAGAGCTGCTACTGCTACCCTCGTGAAACTTAGTTCTCCAGCTGATATCAGCAAAAGTCGCAAATCAAATAAAGTAAATTGAATAAAGACAAACGACACGCCCCGTCCAAATGCATCCTTGCCAAAGGGGCGAAACTTCTATAAGAGTGGGCGTGGCATAGGAGGCATGGAATTAGTTGCTAGTTCTGTGCCTTGCCGTGCCTCTTGTCGCGTTCTTTGTGGCTCGAGTTGTAAATGCGAGGACAGAAATCGAAAACAAAATGTACGCATAAAAGAATTATCTGTCCTTAAGTCGGATTATCTCTGGCCATAGAACTCAATTGGCAATTGAATGGAAAGATGCAAGAGATTCGAATTGTCGAATTGCGGCCGAACGTAAAATTTATTTGCCGGGGCTTCCTCGTCTTCCCCCAATTGACAGCCACTTGAAAAGTTCAAATTCTGTCCATGTGTGTGAGTCACAATCTTTTATTAGATTGGTTTGTTTTTGTTTTTATTATTAAATTTTACTTGATTTGCCTGGCTTCAAGTACGAATTTATGGGACAGAAGCATATGTTTTAAGAATTGGGGGATTATGATGCAAGATATTTTTTGCTCGTGAAACTTCACAAAGCTTTAATCTTTATTCACATAACAGAGTCGCGCAATAATCAATAATCTTTAAGTTTTCAACTTATTATCCGCAGAGAGCGCCTTCCTGATGGACGGACTTGCTGCCTTTGTTGGTGCCTTTGTCAAGTTCACGCAAGACGAGTGTCAGAAGCTCTACTTCGCGCTTGATAAAATCAACGGACTTCTCTACATCGCGCCGATGATAAGGGGCGTCGATATCTAGATGAAGATTCCGTGAATCTGGGGGCAGTGGGCACAAACATATAGAGAAACATACCGCGGCGCTTGCACAACATGCGATAAATTATTTGAATGCCATCCAGTGCACGATCCTTGTCTAAATCGTTGTTGCTAATAGTGTCCTTGCAAAGGCTTACGGTTTTCTCCCACTTGAGCCCCAGGGCGCGCGCTTGATTGTACGATCGTTCCAGCTTGGCCAGATCGTTCTTTAGACCCAGCACAGTCAGAGCTGCCTCACTGGTGATCTTGACCATGCGCTGGCGCATTTCCTCGATCTCCAGCAGTTTTTTGTTTTCAAGATCATTTATTTCAACCTGGGCAAGCACTGTTCACACGAGTTTATCCTGACTATAATTATGTGTTTAGGCGTCTGTTACTCACTTAATGCATCACAACGATCTATGCAGTCCCTGGGCGAAACAAAAATGTCCGATTTCGCCACCACATCATCTAAGACTCGCTCGTACGGCTGAAACTGGCGAACAGTTTCTTTGAGAGCATGTCGAAAGTTATTCAGTTCGCTGATCGACTTCGAGAACTCATCAATGCACTTGCTGAGCTCGTCATGCAGTGCCTCCTCCTGGCGGATGATCTTCTCGGCAGTACGCTTCTTGTCCGCGCAGTCCTTAATAAATCCATTCACCTCAATGAAACGCTTTCGCAAGCGCTCCTGCATCCTGTACATTTGTGCTATGCGCTGGTGGTTCAGCTCAGTCTGGCGCTGGGCATCCTCCAGCAGCTGACGCTGCAGCACCAGCATAGCATCATGCTCGCGAGCGTTGGCTATGTAGAGCATCTCAATGGAGTCGCCCGCCGAGTCCCAGTTGGGTGGTTTCCTGGCATGGGGGAATCAGCTTATTGTCGTCTGTCAGCCGGTTTGACTTTACTTACACGAAGTATCGCTCCTGTTGGCGAGAGAGCAGATACTCGCCCACCGCCTCCTCGGGATTTAAATCCAGATTGCCGATGACATCGGTCTTTAGAGTGGGCTTATAGCGCGGCATGTTTCCGGATTTTCTCGCTCTCTAGTTAAAAATATAATCTGAACTTTTGTTCTAAAAGTTTTTTTGTCGACTAAACGTGAAGTGTGAACAATATGAGCTGTTAGGGATTGACATCCAATCCAAGGCTCACTACCAAAAAACAAAACATAGGAATAGGCAATAGCAGCCATAATAATGATCAACATATCCTTTGACCTTTGAATTATTGCGATGGGGCGTGCTTGGGCGGGGGTGTTGGTGTATATACTAAGCTATAGCTCTTAGAACTTAAGAGATATGCTTAAATAAAAAGATTTCAATATCGATTCTCATCGATTGCTTGAAGCGGCACAAGTTATTGACTATCGAAAAGCAACTCATTCTGAGCCATTTCAAGTCTAGCTCTTATAGGTTCTGCATTCAACGCTTTGGAGAACTGATTTTAGTGGTTCTGTTGGTTACCCAGTTACAGGCCAGCCATTGATAAATGTAACAAACATTGGTTGTTAGGGGCTTACCCTTCGTTTCCCAGGCAACAATTGGTATTTGTGTCCTGAGTCTTACTTCAAAACAGACTATCAATTTAGTTTAAAGCATTTTAAATATGCATTCATTCATTCATGTTCAATACATTACAACACTTACATAGTTTCAAGAGATTTTTCTCTTTTGCGTTTTAATTGTGCTTTTATTTGCGTTAATAATTACTTTAGTTAAACTTTTCGAAATGCCACGAACTAAGCCGACGAAGACCATCGATGTACTGGGCAATCTGGATTTGCGGCCCGAGGAGGCAGTGGGCGACTACTTATTGTCGAAGTTACAGGAAAAGTACTTTATGTAAGTGGATCATAAAGTGGTGGAAGAATGTAGCTCTTCTTAGCTAGAACATCTTCCTAGCAAGCCACCGAATCCGGACGCCGCTGGCGACTCCATCGAGCTCCTCTACATACAAAATACTCGAGAGCATGATAAAATGCTTAAGTTGCAGAAGGAGATGCTGGCCGATTCTAAGCGCCAGTCGAGTATAAATGAGGCGCGAGTGAAAAAGATGTACAAGACGCAAGAGGTACTGAGACAGCGCTTTATTGAAGTGAACAGCTTTATCAAGGACTGCGCGGACAAGAAACGAATCGCAGAGCAGGCCATCAACTGTGAGAGTGAGCTACACAAGGAACTCAGTGAGGACATCAAAAAGTTCAGAACCTCCATTAGCGAGCTAATGACCTTTCGGGAGGCGCTCAAAGGCACAGTCGGGGAGCTGCAGCCCTATGAAAAGGTACTCGAAGATGTTGTGAACATCTCGGATATCTTTGTCTCGCCGAAAGATTGTATGGATCGCTGCGATGCACTCAGTAAGCATAGCGGAGTCAGTCAAGATCTTGTCCCTATTTATACCTTGTCACATAGTGCTAGCCCAAATTGAGATCAGCGAACTGGAAAACAAGAAGCTACAGGAAATCGAGGCGATGCGTCAGCACATGGTTAAGATCACTAACGAGGCAGCCCTCGCCGTACTGGGCCTTAAGAATGATCTGTCCAAGCTGGAACGATCCTATAATGAATCACGTGCTCTCTGCTTTAGGTGGGAAAAGATTCTGGCACATACTAAGGATGTTATAGCCGCCAATTATTTGGAAAAGCAGCGAAGTATGGATGCCATTGACACTTTATACCACATTCTTTGTCGAAGACGCAGTAAGTTTGCTATTGGAACGAAACTTCTTAAGCACTCAATGAATTTTATGGTCACAGATCTTGCTCCTGATATGTGGCGCAGAAATGTTGAGGGCCAATTGGATTTTATCAAGATTGAGCTGGAAATTTTGCAAGGGCTGTTACGAGAGTTCGAAGCCGAAAATGAATCAGACACTGAACAGAACGTTGAGGCTTACTGCTAACGCGGCAATCAAATTTTAAGTATGCGGTCAAATAAATGATATTTACTCATATAAAATATTTGAAATGTTAAGGCTCTATCTCCCTGATATCGCCATGTTTATACAGTCGGACGGTCGGACCCAATCAGATCAGATATGTTGCAAACTAGCTGCTCATCAGGTTCCTATTTTCAATGGGATCACTGTAACAAAAACCTTTTTGACGTATTGCCCTTCTTGAATATGCATATTTATATTTTTCATGCTCTTCGTATCTATTTCTCCTCTTCAACTTTGAACTTTCGGCTTTTTGTAACTCTTAAACGTTATTAATATCGCTTGTTGATGCCACTTTCTAATTGCTTTTACCTCATAAATCTTGCCCCACTCGGACGCTGGCTTGCTGTCCCATTCTTTGCTCTTCGTTTGAGTCCGAGGCCGGGTCCGACTGAAACTCTGACTCCGCCTCTGACTTTTGTCGCGCTCTCCGCATCTGTAGTCGCCATAAGTCACAAAATTGTCGGACACTCAAGACAAATGTGACGCTGCATTGGCCGTTAGCTCATTTAATTAGAAAACTGGAGACAAGGGCAGATGGCCATGGTGATGGCGATGGCGATGGCGATGGCTGGAGTACTAGTATCTAACCGGGAGTGCAGTTAACGGCCTGTCGCATCAATTGCACATTACAAACTGCACAAACTTCGCTTGACGGCTTTTTAATTACGTCAGTCAAGGAATGTGCTCAGACTGCGCCCCTCTCCAGCTTTATCCGGGCCATACCTTTCTAACAATTAGCGGAACGGTTGGCAATAGCTTTAAAAAAGAAGAAAAGTATTGTACTGTCAATTGCACGACTTGACACTCGGCGGGCGCATATTGAAAAACTTTTTTAATTACCCTCACAAAAAAGGTCGTTTTCAATTATTCATTGAAAAGCTTTCGATCCGCCGTTTAACCTGTCGACCAATTGACATTGTGGCCTAAGCTCAATCCACAAAATAGAAGATAACAAAGAAACTTGCTTATCTTCAGCATGCCTAATATTAAATACCCTATTTCCGACCGATTCTTTCTCTATTGGCCATATGCTATTAGAGTCTGGTTTGATGCGGCTGTTCAGACATTTGAGAAGCATAGTCAGCGGCACTGTCCTTGACTTTGGTTACGATAACCTAAAAATCGGTCATTGGGTTAATCATTCTTCAGGTTCCTGCATATGTACTGCCTGGATAAAAAGACGTACCTATGCAAAGTTTCATTAATATAGTTTTAAAAGTAAGAGAATAGTTTGAATAAAAACAGATATACGGATAGATATATCTGACCTAGAATATACACATGTACTTTATGGTGTCCAATATATCTCATATGCGTTACACATTTCAAAAGAAAATTATAATACTGCCGAGAAGAGTACAATTTAAGCTTAAAATGCTCAACAGAAGTTATCGGCTTAACACTTTTGCTGGACTGTACAAGTTGAATGCCCTCTGACCTAAAACAATTGACAGCTTTTGTTGCATTGTTTTGCCATTGTGCATGATATTTTCTAATTTTAATGATGGTCAATTTGATTGTAGTTTAAATATGCGCAAAATGCCAAATAAAGCGCTTAAAGACGACACCTAAATTTAGGAAAAAGTTTTAAATATCTGAGTCAAATAATTTTCATCCAACCGAGCTGAAATTGAAAAATTGGAGTGCTGCAGCGTGCTGACAAATTCAATGCCAAGAATAAATTTTAAATTTCAACTCTTTCGACGGTGGCAGGGGCCTGGGGGCGGAGAACTTTGACATTTTTATGCCATGTCGTTGTTTTGTTCGTGTTTTGATTCCCATTTCTTGAGACATTTCCGCCCGTAGAAGCTTGAAAGGTGTTAGCAGGCAGCCTATGGCAGCTATGGCTGTTGATATATAGACGGGTCTGGAGTATAAGAAAACATTTTAATTAATGCTGACAGCTGAAAACGTCGCGGTTGCTTTTGTTGTGTAAATTTCTCGGTTTTGAATGCCCTCTCATCGAGCCATTGGGCTCGATAATTATTATTGGATTTCCTTTTGCATTTACTACTGGTTTTTCATTTCGCCTCTTCGGCTTGTGTTTTCTTCGTTTCTTTTACTTTTCTATTGAGCAACGCGTCAACAAATTAATCCGCTTAGCCCCGCATTTTCACCTTGCTGAGTGAGTGCTCCCGCTGGAGCTGCGAGACTAGACAACTGCCAGACCCTGGCCATGATTCAGACACAGACCCCAGACGTATAACCAGACAGTTAAGCTTTAATCCTTAATAGTTGGCTCTGGCTCAGGCAAGGAGGGCGTAGATTAGTTCGGTATTTGCCTGAAGTTTACTACGGATTCCTTTTAGTGTTGTCGGCTGTCAAGGTGAATAGAGCCACTGGGGAATGTCTTAACTCAGTTGATTAATGGTTTCGATTATTAAAACTTATCACATAAATAGGGTGTGATAAGCAGCGTTACTAGCTTTTACTTAACAATGTCATAAATATGTTAATTTATTTTGACTTGATAGTCTCCCAACCCATTTTTCAATTTAAGCAGTATAAAACTATAATCTGTAATAAAATCTACAATAAAATGAAAGATACTTGATATATGTATATGCTAACCAGACGCTACATGTCAAATTTTGTGACTCCAGCCCATAAAACCTAAGAGATTTTTTCAAACAGGTTTTCTATATCGATATTTATCGATACGGGAAGGTTATCGATTATCGGAAACAAACTTGTACTGCACGGGCACTAGAAGGATCTACGTAAAATTTCAAGTCTCTAGCTCTTACAGGCTCTGAGATCCTTGCGTTCATACATACGGACGGAAAGACAGACGGACATGGCTCGGATATGCTTCTTGTGCCTGTATGTATGTAACATTTACACAAATATATTATAAAATTTATAATCGGTTTTTAAAATAAATTAAATGAAATCACCTTCGTCGCTTCTAAACTCAACCTAACCGAATTTATATACATCTCAAACGAAATGGCGAATTTTGTGAGATATGATCATTATATCTCAACCTTTAGAAGCTAAGCAGTACTGAGGCTAAGAGCTTAGCATACCATATTCCAATTTATTGCTTTTTTTAAAGAATTATGAGAATAGTAATGAAAAAACACTTTTAAAGTACTGTGATCTAGTTCATTTTCTAAATAGTTACCAAAACTACCCGACTTTTCTATATTATGGAAAACAATAG